AGGGACTCCTTGTCCTTTTTGGCCAAAACCTTCCAGATCTCCAGCTCGATGCTGTTGTCACTGTCCATGGAACTGATGTCAGACTGAAGCTGGGGCTGGCGGCTGATTGGTGAAGGTCATGGGCCTCCACCTCGCTGGAGAACAGATGCCCTTCCCAGGCTCTTTAACCTGATGGGAAGGCCAGGAACGTGCTCAAGGGCCAGGCCCAGCCCTGCACAGCTTTGCTCTCTCTGTGGGGCTGTACAAGCTGCTGGAAGGTTTCCTCAGTGGGTCCTCCCTGCCGTCCCTTTTGGACTTTGACAGGCGGCTTTTCAACAAGGGCGGGCTTCTGTCCTTCCAGCCTCTCTGGAGGCCATCAACTGACCCAGGGCCCATGTCTTCATGCACCTTCCTGCACACAGCTCTGGGGTCCCAACACCTACAAGGCTTCTTGAGCTTCCACTTGGATCGTAACAAGTCCTTAATGGCGGTGTCCAGATCCTCGTCGATGTCCAGTGAGCTACTGCTGTCCTAGGAGCTCTCCTTCTCATCCACACTCCTCGCTTCCACAGCCTTCCCGTGGCCCAGTGACATGCTGTCCCTAGTGTCCAGGGCCACATGCTCATCACCCAGCCCGACAGTCCTGCAGGGGAGAGGCTACCTCCTGGCCTGCCCTCCCTTCCAGGCGCCTCACTGGCTTTTCCTTGGCCGGCTGTGCTTTCCTTTGGCCGAGGGCAGCATCTGAGGCACCCTCCTTTGCCACCTCTCTTGTTTTCTTGGGTATGGACGGCCACAGGGTGTTGCCACCTCCTCTGCATTGCCCTTTGCAGCTCAGTGACAGGTCCAGTGTTTTAGAGACAGGGGCCTTGGGGCCACAAGCCTGCCTGTTGGGGCCAGGCAAGGCCAGTGGGCTGTGTGAGGACTGTGGGCAGGTGTCCCTCCTGGACTGTGCTTTTAGTGCCCCAAACGTCCGGATCTCCTGCTCTAGGCTGTCGTCACTGTCCACGGAGCTGCTGTCACCTTCTGAGCAGGAAGGCACATTTGGGGACAAGGTAGCGGGCTGGCAGACAGAGGTCTGTCACCACCCTTCCCGGGGGTCACAGGATCATTTTGGAAATGTCCAGGGATCCCTTCAGTGCACATCAGCTCCGCAGACATGTCTGCCCGACACAAGGACTGGTCCACAAACTTGCTCTTGGCTGCTGTTTCCTGGGGCTACAAGGGCTTTGGCTTCTTTTTTTTTTTTAAATATTTTTTTTATTGATTTTTTACAGAGAAGAAGCGAGGGGGAGAGGGTGCGAGAAACATCGATGAGAGAGAAACATCTATCAGCTGCCTCCTGCACACCCCCTACTGGGTATGTGCC